CAGAAAATATTGAAACATTTTGTTTCCTACTAACATGTACTTCAGTCCTACAGCACAAGCAAAATGTCAAATGAATCATTTTTACACCCTTCCTTTGAAAAATCCACCACAATCATACTCTGATTTTTAAAAAACTGAATTTGTCTGAGAAAGCCATTCGATTTTAAAAAAAAATTAAAATTCTCTAATTTTTCTCACTATAAAAATATGTTTCAGAAAAATTTTGGTAGATATCCTTAATATATTTTTTGAAAATAAATAGCCTGAATTTAGTTTATATTTTTTTCTTTTAAAGAAGGATCATTGCAAAGTCAATTAATTTCTTATTGATTGGCTGTGGTTTGTTCACAGTCTCTCCTAACCTAAATAGAATCTAAAATATTTATCTCTACAATGGAATTCTGTTAAAAAGATAATGGAAGTTCTTCTCACTTGCCTTCAAGAGCTCTATTAACATAATGTTTGTTCAATGCACAATTGCTTTTCTAACATAGTTATTACAACAATAACTCACTGAGGATATATGAGTATAATAACATATGTTTAAAGAAGGAAAAGCTGCAAAGAGGTGCAAATTCACAAAGGTCAAAGCCCGATGGGATCTTTAAGGTTCTGAAACAAAAAGAAGTAATAGGAGCAGGTGGGAGTTGGATGTTATGTTGCAAATGTTTGCCTGGATCAAATAGAAAAAAAAAGCAGGGAACTCAAAATAGGTCTTACTGATCCCTATTTCTCATATGGCTGTTTGTCTATTTTTTATCCAGTTACACATATTCTAATACAAATACATATATAATGCTCCTGACTCTAGCACTACTTATTAATTTTATTTTAAATAGTCATGGTTTTAAAAAACACAAAGACACAATTTGTTTTGGAGTAGAATATATGCATTCTTCTCTCAGTATATATGTACACTAATATACTAATACTTTTTCTTCCTCAGCTCCTGACTGTTTTATTCCCGTTTGTCTTATGGAGGGCTCAAAGCATGAACACCTTCATCACATTGACCATGAAAGAGGAAAGCATGAACTTGAATTCACTCAAATGGAAAAGAAACTAAGAATCTCCCTTCATCATTCTTGTTCTGGGAGAATGGTCTATCCAGGAGGGCGTCCAGTATGATATGGGCAGACTCTTCCTTTCTTTACAAAGGAGAAAAGTGACCTTGTGCTGTTTTATTCAGAAGCAGCAGTCTTCTGCTGTCCTGGTGGTACCTGACAGCTGAGCAGAAACCAGACTTCTAGACTGCTGAACAGCCTAATCTCAGAAAATGGGATTGAGAGCCAGACATGCTCCTGAAATCTGTGCATTTTTGACTCAGCCTCCAAGGTGCTCCCCTCTCTTTCTGTCCTTTATGGACATTAAACATCAGGGCACAGCTGCAGGGTTTGGATTTTGTCTGGGACAATGATACGTTCAGCCCCCAGCTGCAGAGCATGTGAAACTTTTCCTTAGATCCACTCTACCTTTCCTCTTGACTGACTGATGCCAGCCCTTTGATTAAGCAGTACTTAGAGAAGATAACTGCAAATCTGGGGAAGACAGTCTGCAGAGCTCCCTGAATGGTGCTCAACAACTTTAACTTCATCATAGCCAGTTCCTTCATAGCCCTGACAGCAGTGGCAGACACTGTCTCTGCCATTATTTCTAGATCTTCATTCGATGTTTCTCCTCTCACAATAAATCACTGGTTCTCCAAGGCATCTGTCTGGAAGGCCTTTAAATTGAAGTGTAGATAAGTTGAGGCTCTCCAGGCTCTTTGCCCACACGATGCATTGTCCTGACAAAGATGCCTCCTTCACACCTCAGCTGCTGCTGTGACATTGATAATGTAGGGCTCAAATTCAGAATGGATGAATTTTTGCAGTTCTCTGCAGTTGCTCCGTAAAAGGTAGAAATTTTAGCTAATATGAGACTACATACTTTTTATCCCCTTTTACATTGTAAAAAATAAGCAAAATGTAAGGAGTCTGCATTAATTAATTAATCCGGGATAACATAAATTTCATTAATTTAAAGGATTAGTAAGAATTTTTGTACAGAAAATATAATCCTATTGAGGCACAAACTACTTTAGCAACTTGCATTCCCCAGGAAACACCAGTGTGTAGATCTGTCAAGAGGCCATGATATATGCTAGAAAAGCAGGTGGTATCAGCGTGGCTGTGTGGTAAGACTGTGGGTGTCTGGAGCTGATGGGGAAGCTCCAGAAGCTTGCCTTTGTCACTTGACTGGGGTGGAAGGAAGTTCACCCTCCTATTTGTATTGATTCTGACAGAGACTACATCCAAATGTTTAAAAAATTGGCTGAAGTAATTGAATTTCCTGAAGACAACTGAACACTTATTTTCAGCCGTTCATTCTCATGCTGGCCGGGTTTTCTATACTATCTGCCAGGAGAAAAACAGCCCAGAACACCCATCTCACACAGTTTTAAGGAAAAAGTCTTTTTTTATGACAAAGTTTGATATGTGGCTTTCTGAAAACTGCAGGACATGGCAGAGCCTCAAAAATCAATCTTTGATTTTAATGTGGCTAGGTCTGATATGTAGTACAAAACCTCTCCATCTGATCTCAACAGCCTGCTTTATTTTTCTTGCCCACACACAAGGACAGTTCTCATAACCTGACAAATTGTAGAGCACCACCAGCTAGACCTTCTCTGGTGTGCTAATCATACTCTAGATAATTTCCTAGTGTTTTACCCAGCTGGAAGGGAATTTGACCAGGATGATAACTACTGAGGAACAGTCTCCCAAAATGCCTGGTATTAGCCATTGGCTTCCTGCTACTGGCTGCCTATGAGCCTCACAAGAGGCTTGTTAGGCCAGGAAGAGCTGACCATGTTCCATGTTGTCCTGACTGGAGCAAAGGTTGGTTAAGCAGTCAGCTCTGCTAGTGCCAAGTACTCAGGACTGGTGCAGTCAGACACTCTCTATTAACAGGATAAAAGGAGGATCTTACACAATGCATTTAAGTCAGGCTAAGGTTTACCTCCAAGGAAGTTAAATTCATACCTCACCAAATAACAATGCCTGCAGCTCCCAGATCGTTCTCTCCAATAGTGTTAAAAACATCTTGCTACAGTGAAAAAAGTAAAGATATTACTGTCAGGTTAATTCAGCATTTCACAGCCTTTCTAAAGAAACCCAGTGGTATGTTATGTGGCTTTCTTAAAGACTAGGGCTTCATTCTCATCCACATGAACTATATTTTATTCTGGATAAAGGTTTGCTGTCTAGACTACAATGAATATTAAACTAAAGTTGCAAACTTAGGTATGGGGTGAGATGTTGGTAATAAGGAAGTGAATTTACTGGGGAAAAAAAAGCATTTTAATCCACTTTGATGCAAAAATTTAATCACAGTTATTTGATAACTCATCAATTACTAGAAGCAACTTAAATCCTTTCATTAAAGTGGGATTTTTTACACAAGAATTTCCCAAAACATTGCCTCAGGTCTCTTTTTGTTGATAAGGGGAAGGAGAGAGACATTTTGCTATGTCAATCAGTTGTTTTCCAGTCTCTTTCCAATTTGAAAGCTGTGGTTCCAAGGGCATGCATTGTTCTTGCTGCTTTCCCTAGGAGCTCACTCAGATTCTTATAAAAACCTAGAAAAAGCAACTGTAAATAGGCTCACACTATGAAATATCAGGATTGTGCAACCTTAAATGAAAGAGAAAATGCAACACTTGGACAATTTTAAGAATTTCAGTTACAATATTCTTTTAAATTTATATTCTTTCTAGTTTTGTTCCAGAGAGATGTCTTTCACTGACCTGATCACAGAGCAGGCTGTAAGGAGAAGGTATTTGGTGCTTGGATATTTATCCTTAATTTGAACCATGGCTAAGGATCAGCAACAAGTGAATTACTATGCCATAAACACAGAATTTGAAAGGCCATTGATAAGCGACTCCCTAGACACCACTGAATTAGGGGATGTACATCAATAATTGACTTGATGTGAAAAAACTTCAGAGATATGTTGCCTGAAAGGAGAAAAGAGGCAGGAACTGGGCATAAAATGGCAAAGAGGATGCAGCAGTTATTGATGTCTGTCTACCCTCTCCTTGCAAAGCTAAGGAAGAGCAAGCTAAGTAAAACCACCAAGGCAGGTGTCTCTGTCTCCTTCAATGTCTTTAAGACCAAGAGAAGCGAAGCCCCTTGCTGGGAAGTGCAGTGGGTGAGTAATGGCAGGGATAAGGGAGTGGTGAGACCTCATAGAAGAGGGAGCTGATGCTACTTCTCAGACAGGATGACAACTTCAGATTCAGTACCTGGGATGAAAATTCAAACATAGCCTTGAAAAGCAAATGCAGCTCACTTGCTAAACTCTGAAACAGAGAAACTGGGGTCTGCTGGTGGTGCAGTCACTGTCTACATGTAAGAACAGGACCAGGGCAGTGACAGACAAATCATGCTGCTATTTCAGAGGAAGTCTACTGCCCTCATGCATTCTGTGAGGATGTCCAGAATCACACAAAAAAAGCCTAGGGTAATGGTCTTCTCTCAGAAATACTGTTCTCTGTGTGTTTGTATGTGTTCAACAGATGGGAGCAGTACTCCTCTGTTCTGGGGCACCATTGGCCTGGACCAACATAGGTATTATGGGACTAAATTAAATGGTTTTGAGGTGGAGGCATGCAGAAAGACTGCTGGTTCCAATTTTCCATCCTTATGTACAAAGAACAAGTTGCTAACATCTCTGCCTCAGTTTCCAGTCTAAAAAAAAGGGCAGGGAGTGATTACTAGTGATTAGTGATAACATACCTGACCATGAGGGAGGATTAATGCATTAGCAGACTCCTATGTACTACACCAAATTTCTGAAATCCTTTTAATCCATTCAAATGCTCTCTTGAGTACAGCCTAGTTAGGAAGTAAAGCAAAAAATAATAATTTTTAAAAAGAAGATATTCAAAGCTGGGTTTTTCCTTCAGAACATTGCGCTCTTCAAAGCATGTGGATAATTAGCATGAACCAGCAGAGCTAGCCCAAGTAGGAGGTTTTCCATCCTGATGCACCATCTGCAAGAATGGTTAAAGGATAAATGCAGCCTACATTCTTCCAGTAGAAACTTTCAATACACAGAACTAATAAAGGCTCCTCTCTATAGCCTAGTCAGGTATACACAAATACAGGTGAAGCATAGTCTTGGGATGCCATGGAGGAAGGAGCCCTATGGATTCATTCAACCTAAACTGAGAGAAGTACAAAATGTTTTTGACTGTTTCCAAGGGGTTTCTAAATGTCAATGGAAAGATATAGGGCTGCAAAGCTATTCCAGAGACTGGAAAATTCATTGTTCCTCAAAATGTCAATCTTTGGGCAGAAACCAATATAGTTCTAATCATGGAAACCATAATTATGACAGTCAGGGTATAAGTAGCATTCCCATAGGCCCTTTGGTTTGCTTTCCACTGCTTCATAAAAGCTTTTTGCACTTTCTTCAAAGGAAATTCTTAACATCCAAGATTTAACATCATTTGCTGAAATATTCCCTTCCATTTCAGTAATGACTTTCCTGGACTTTCCTCTGTAGACATCTTTTGCACCACAGCTGCAGGCCCACTAAGGTCTCCAAAGTGCTCAATCTGTAACTGCTACCCCAGTGAAGACCTCAGCTGGGATGTAACAGTTAATGCCATGCCTTTTTTTTTCTGGATGGGTTTGAAAACCGAAGTTTTAGGGTATGCCACCATTAACTCAGATTTCCTGTTATGTGCCCTCTTCCTTTAGCTAGGGGGCTCCAAATCCTGTAGAATATTTTCAAGTTCAGTACATCATACCTCAGGAAGCACAGTTCTGTCAGGCATTCCAGGAGTCTTGAAAGGCTTACTCTCCCAAACTGGTGGTCAGGCTGATTTTAAAGCAAGAGAAGCGCAGATGAGTGGTATGTGCAGCCATGCCAGGGGCTGAAAAGTGAACAATGCATAACTGCATTCTGTTTCAGGGAAGTACTTTCATAACATAAGAGATGACATTGGACAGATCTCCCAGTTTGTCTGTAGAACAGAACAGTAACAGAAGAGTATTTATTCCATATATAAATTTATGAATTGGCATCAGTCAATTCTAAGGCATCTACCATGCTAATACTGCAGAAACAAGGTGAGCACAATCTAACCCAAACAAAGGGGGAAATTCTCAGCCAAAGTAAACTGGTGTAAGTCTGGAAGCCAGCATACTTTTTATGTTTCCAGCATACTGGAAGCCCGCAGTTACTTTTCTCATCAATTCACCGAGGGTGTTGCCACCACTTCAGAGGGCCCCAGGATATCTCAGTGGCTGTTGCAATGGAAAGCCTGATGAAGACATGGTTTCCTTATCATTCAAGCTTTCTCCATAACAACCAGAGTAACTCTAAAATCAAACCTTGGCTTTTATCACCATCTTCACAATTTAGTGAGCATCCCTGGAGTGTCTATGCGGTGCCAGCCAGAGACACTCCAAATAGCTCTAAACAAGCACACATATCTCATTGTCATTGTGCAGTACCATAAAGGGATCCAAGTTCAAACCCTTGGTAGCAGTAAAGCAGATACATGACCACTTGTTCTGAGCTATTTATTAGCCTTGCTACACTATCACATGCAGCTAGTGCCTTCCAGACCATGTCTGATATCTCTGCACAGCACTGCAGTGTGCAATGTGGGCTTTGTAGCTAAGGCCTGTGCCACTACCACAAGCAGCATCATTAATCACAAGGTCCCTACAGCAAAACCTACATACTTATATGTAAGAGAGAGAGAGTTGCATGATTTTCCAGCTCCAAGATCTCCCATGCTTTCAAAACCCTGGGAAGATCCCACTCACCTATACAATCAGCCATCATGGATTTGTATTTGAGTTCTATTGTTCTTCTTCCTCAGTCTTAGCCTACTTTTTTATCTCTCCTGGGATTGTGACCTACTGGAGGTGAGAATCATGGGTGTCATACGGGCAGCCAGGCTTTTAGATTTATACTGCTGGGAATAGTGTAGCTATGCTATCCTTCCTTTCTCTCAAAACTGAAAAACAGTGAGGAATATCTACACACCTGAGGTACTTTTATGGGCCTCCCCAATCCCACATTTTCCTGTTTTTTTAGGGTAGGCCTAGCATAACCTAATTTCATCAAAACCATCAATATCCAAGGTAATCAACCTAGGCATTTTCAATAAGCCTTTGATTGTTTTAGGGTATAGTCTTCTGACAGTGTGAGACACCAGCTTGTTTTACAGCACACAAGGTGTGCCTGTTCCTCCTGCTGACCAGCAGGCCATACAGAGGACCAGTGCAGTATGGGGCAGACACTGCAGAATTCAATGTTTTATCAGAGAATCTCGCCCCATGAGACTCACAGTACATAGCAAACCCAGTTTTCCAAACTCACTACCCACATACCCACAAGTGCCATACCAGCATTACTGAGCTTTTTGGAAAATAGTGTTAAAGAAAATTAGCCTGATTTGCCTGATCATCTCTCAGAAGGCATATACTAGAAATCAAACTTGGCAAAGCCACTCAGGGCTTGTCAGCATTAGAAGGAGGCCAAACTGAATTTCTCACCAAAAGTCTGCACAGGCAAAGCTGGAAGAAGGTGAGCTTGTTCTTTTGAGGAGACAATCAACAAAAGGACCACCTTCAGAGAGTCAGGCTGTCCCATAGCTGCAGAGAGATGGAGAAAAGGGACAGGGACCTCCTGCCAGCCCAGCAGCCCTGCTCCTTGCACCAGCCCATGCCTGGGATCAACACGTGCTTCTGGCTTTCCAGGAGGGTGCCATGAAGGCTGCAGAATTGCTGACCAGTGGCTCTGGCAAAAAAAAGAAGGAAAATGCAGACCTTGCTGTGCTGGGGTACTGTTGCTGAGCACTGCTCTTGCAGTTTACAGAAAAACTGAGCTGTAGCAAAATCCTGCCAGAGGGCAGCAAATCCCTACAATTTTTTGTCTCCCACATATTGAGATTCTGAACAGCAGCAAGCCGAGTTTCCCCCATGGGAGCTGTACTACCATCCTGCCCCTCTGCTTCCAAGTTTGTACAGTCTGGTCCAGGGAGGTGTCACTACCTGTGCTGAGCACATCCTCAGGTGATTTAGGTCCCATTTCAGGGAGCACTTCCCTGGCAGGACCTCTGTCACTTGGCACAAGCAGGCCAGTGCTGTGCACTGGCAGGCACCCATGCCCAAGGCTACCTTGTGGCACCATACCAAAAGCCAGGGGGTTCACCAGAGGCTGCTCTTCCTGGGACCTGCCTAGCAGTGGGATGGGGGAAGGCTCAGCTCTCCCACACTGTGGGTCCACACACCTCCCCTCAGGCAGGACTGGGGCACAGTTAGCCCTAGGCTTTACTTTCTGCTGTATATAATGATTTGCTGCTCCAAAATCCTCTGAGCTGGTACATGGCAAAGTATCAGCAAGCTGAACCTAACAACCACAATAATATCATTATAGGTTACTGAAGACTGCAAGGGAGTGGAAGACCACCTTGGCCCCTGAGAAAAACCTTTCCTGGGAAACTTAGCACAGAAAGAAACTTGTAGGATCTCTATTGCTAAGGAGGAAACGGTTGCTCTTTTTTATTCATTGACTTCTGACTTCTAATTTTATTCCATTTGCTGCATTTAGCCACACTACACATACATGCTCCATCTGAGAGCAATCTCTGAAGTCACTTGTTTGCAACGTGCAGAAAGGATGTGCCCAAGCACTGCTCAATATTTTTCCCTTTCCCTAGATTTTTCAAATTAACTTCCAGTTGTGCAGGATTTCTAAAAAATTATCCTGCTGTTTTTGCTTGGTATTTCTTTCACTTGTATCTATCACAGTTGACAAAACCCAAAATACCCTTTCTGCTAACTAGATTTTCCTTTGGCAAGGGGAGCACAGAGGCAGCCCTTGTTAGTGTCCAGCTGACTGTGAAAATGCGGAGTGGACAGCAATTGCCAATACAGAGAAAGTAGAAACTGTGTATCTTTACTAGGCAGCAAACAGCTCTAGCTAAGACTAAGCAAAATCAGCTTTAAAAAGGCAGTTCTGAAATGAAGTCATGTAGAGAGAAGTACTTGAACCAGAACAAAAGATGCTGCTGAAAAAAAAATAGCCAGTGATATGATAAGAAAATGACTAAGCATTCACCAGTTGATATAAACCCTGTATCTCTCTCCCCCGATTAATCTAGAGCACGGGAATGCATTTTCAAGATTGTCATCTATCTTATAACGGAAAACCAACTCCAGTGATGTTCCACTATTCATATCAAGGGATTAGAAAAATTAAAAATGATGAATAAAGAGAATATTTTCTTTCTACAACAATATGGCATTGAAAGGGCGCAACCCTGAAGGGCTTAAGCCAGGCTGTTTCAACAGGCAAGGCAGTTTCCAAATACTCTTATCAAAGACAGGAATGTTTTTTGAAAGAAGAATTTTCACACCCACGGAGATCCAATAAAATCCCAGGATTTTTACAAAATAATCCTTTTTGTTGGCTTTTTATCAGCAAAGCTAAAGTTGATACACTCAGAAGTCTGATGATGGAATGAGTGTTTTTTCCAGTGGAAGTCATGCTTTCAGCAGTGAATCTTGCTATCTGTGCTGGACTCAGATTTGGTGGCAATGTGCTTGGGGGGCTGGTGACAAAGGAAATGACCTCAAGAGCCACAGAGCCTGCAGCAGCCTCGGGGGGGAGGCGGGGGGTATGGCAGGATGCACTGCTGCTGTCTCTACCTTCCCTCATATGCATGGGGGATTATTAGATCAAGGCAACCTTTAGTGATTTGCCACTGAGATTCTGCAGAGTGTCTCTGTTATGTTAGTAAATGCAGGGGACAGAAGATACAGCATAACAGATAACAAAAATTGAGAAAATAATGATAAAAATAGGTGATGGATAATAAAAATGGACCTCATCTCACAATTACCTGCCTGTGACCAGTAATAATCATGGCTGATTATAGCCAAGACTCAAACTATTTTAGTACAGTGCTTCACTAATCCTGATGAAGGTGCTATAAAACCTGAGCAGCATTAAACCTCATTAAACCTCAGCTGCTGAGGGATATTTCAAAATTAGGGCAGGGCCTCCTCAAAATGCTACTAATCAAAGTATGAATCTGATGCAATAGAGCTATTTCCCTAGCACTGTGAGGAATGAGTTGAATAATGAATCAAAAGTTAAAATGCTGAATTATTGGAAGGCAATTTTGTATAAAATTTAACTTATTATGACTTCTGTGGGACTTTTAGACACAGGAGATCACATTTTAGCAGACAAGCTACAGCCGTGCATTGGGCTCATCTGGACAATCATTTGGCCTCTATCATCTTAGCTCCTTTTGCCCCTATAGTGAATTTTTCTTATTATTTATATGAAAATACATGCATTATGATGGCATACTACATAGCTGAACTTCTGAATCTAAAAAATGTCCCCCACTTCTTGCTGCATGAATGTCTCTCATCTGTATACAAATCACACCTGACAGTGGTCCAGCCTTGGAGACTAGACTCCTACTTAGTCCTAGCAAGAGGCAGATGGTCTGATGGTTTGATTTAATGGCCCACTGAAACATCCATAGAAGCAGCCCTTATGCTTTCTTGTGCTTTCCTCATGCTCTTGATGCCAGTGCTGGGTCATTTTCTGGCATACACTGAAACAATCACAAAACCTCTTTGGCCCATGCCCAGCCTCACAAGGTGCTCAGTGGTCGACACCACAATTTTCCACCTGTTTTAAGCCAAAAGGTTTCCCAGAACCTGCCTTTTCCAAAGATGGTAGCCTTTACACTTGGAGCTATATTTTTCATGCTTACACTATAAAGTCAGCACACTGGCCTGAGTTTTAAAACAGCCTGAGTGGGCTGCATTGCTACTCAGTTGTTTTCAGGGGGTACAGCAGATAAAAAATTATATGGAATATAGCATGTGCACAGCCAAAAAGTTTCACATTCTTTGGGGGTACATCAGCCTCAAGACATAAAAACTGTGTTGAGGAGCTGGCTTCAGCTAGCTGCCAGGATGTCCAGGTTTCCTGCCACACTGCTCATTTAGCTGTAGTTCAAAATACCCAGACTGCAAAGAGCAGGAGATGGGGCATGTGCACAGAGGACCCCAATCCAGCACAGCCAGCAGCCTGACTTCAGGCTGAGCTAGGAAAAACGTAGGAGCCCATTTAAAAGCATCAGAACTGCTTGGGCTCTCCCTCTGTCTCTCTTACTCCTCACAGCATTTTAAATTGAGCTGAATTGGTTCTTTTGAGAAGCAGCCTTCCTCTCTGCCCACTTTCCTGATGCAATTGTAAGGCAAATCCTAACTGAAAGCTGAACCAGTGATGCTTAATGTTCGGAGCGTGTTCTTCTCATAGAAATTAAACAGGAGGCCAGCCCTGTGCAGCTGAAAGGAGCTGACTCTCCTCCCACCACCCTTCCTGGGGTCCAGCAGAGTTAGTGTGTATTTGAGGTAGGGAAAGATTGGCCCCCAAACTGAGCAGAGCAAGCACCCACACACACAGTGGAATGATTACAGCTTCCACTGATCACCAGAAGATATGGGTGACATTCCTCTCTTCCTACTCCTACAGAATAGCTGTAACACAACAACAACAACAAAAAACCCCCACTTGATTTATTTTCATCCCCACCAGCTGAACATTAGATTAGAGCTAAATGTTAGTGTTGCACAAAATACAGCCATTCAGTGTTGTCAGTCTAAAGGATTATTGCAATAATTTTGAGCCAGGGGTCATGTAAATCTTGGTAAGCCTCGTGTATGGATGGAGACTTGGAACAAACCTGACAAGCCTCTCTCAGTGGCCATGCCCCTGTACTGCCTTTCCATCTGGCTCTCATCAGC